CCTGAAATGACAGGTTAGGGAAGCAAGATTACAATACAGTGCATCAGAGTGAAACATCGTGGAGGGTTCTCCCTAATCAGTTACAGACAACAGCTAAGATCACCTGCAGTGGAAGCTGATTATTCTGTACGTTTGATCTCCATTCATTTTAACTGAATTATTCATTTTAAAGGCAGCGATACAGTGAGAACAGATACAGTCGGGTTTCTCAGTCCGCTCTCAGTGCAAATAGTAGTGACCCATAGTGTCTCATGGTTGAAGCTCATTATCTTCATTATCTACTTCACTTGAGAAAACTAGGGGTGTAAGAAAGTATCAATCATTTTGATGTTGGATGTTACAGGGACTGTTATAAAAACAGTATATGGTGGTGTGCTCTTTGTATTAAGACAGATTTCCTAAACAAATTAGTATTTTTTAAATCGCAATACATCCCCTTGCTTGCAGTATCACAGTACATCACAATGTGTTAACTCATAACCCCTGTATCGTGATATGTACAGTATCAGCAGGTTCTTGCCAGTGCGCACATTTATTTTCCAATTGTATCGTAGTAGTAATATTTTAAGCGCCTCGAGGTTAAGAGTTAGGACTGATCAACAGAAAATAAATCATCCCCAGTGTTTGTAATCAATTAAAATGTTTTATTTATTTTTTCATTCTTCAAATCAAACATGTCAAATGTTCTCATTGATCCAGCTTCCCAAATGTAATGATTTGGTGTTTTTTTCTGTTTTAAATCATTGTAATTAGAATATTTTCTGGGGACTGTTGGTTGGAAAAAATAATAATTATTAATTGGATTCTTGAAAAGAGCGATGGGCATTTTTCACTATTTTCAGATATGTTAAAGGTCTAAATGTTGAATCTAATAAACCACACAATAATCATCAGATTAACTGCTAATGTAAATACACAGTTGCAGTCCTAGAATAGTTTAAATTGATACTTTGTATTTTGGGGCATGACAATAATGAAATGAGACATGCCAAGGAGGAACAGGGCTGTGGTTTTTCTAATCTGGCCATCACAGCAAAGCCACCGACTTCTCCTCGCCGCACTGATGACTTCCGCTGTTTCACTACTTCCTCACAAACATCCCCTCGCTCTCTGCGTGCACGCACACACCGTGATGTGAGGTAACAAACTCCAGCTTCGTTTCATTCGCCACAGGTTTGATTTGTTTGCTCATCTTGGACATTTTTAGAAAACTCAAAAGGCAGTCCGTCTGAAACAAGCTGTGGTTTGAAGGAGAGGAGCTCAGCGAGTCTACAGCTCAGCAAAGTCATAAATGGGTTAAACCATTTCCTCAGAGAGGGGGATTCCCAGCCCCACATGCTGAGCTGGGTCTTACCCCAGAGTTTTAAAAATTCCTTCTGCCTCTTTCTTCAGCTCCCACTGTTTAATGGAAACAGAAACACTGCGACCTCTGACCTTTTTACTCTCGGTTGCTCTTAATGAGGTTTTGGTTATTCTATCTTATCTCTGTGTTTTGCTCATGTTTTTCTTTCACGCTGATTGCTGATGTTTTGCTCTTGTTGGATGTCCTCAATTAGCTTCCTTCTTCTGTTTTTAATTTACTTTACTTTGTCGTAAAACCGACGATAGTTTTCAGTAATTCAGACAAAACGTTTGCTGACCAAATTCGACCGATGCGATACATAAATGAAAATAAATGTAGTTTATAGTTCCGGTTTTCTAGAAATACTTGTGACTATCGTTGAAGTCAGAATCAGGCTGATCATAACACAAGTATGAAAAAATGTCAGGGAAAATAAGTGAAATTAAAAACATGCCGACAGATGTTTTCACTTAAAAGCTAAGATTACTGAACTCAATCACAGACTAACTGATTCTTTAGGATGGATCACTTTGGTGATTAAATGGTGGTGAGAGCTTCTCTATATTTCGTATTTCCTCTTTTTTCTATGTCTCTCTACCTCCCCCCCCCCCTCCCCTGTGTATTATTTTTCCATCCCAACAGCTGTTGGTGGTGCACACAGCTGCAACGCGCCTCGGTCAGTCCAACTCTGCAGCTATTCGCTAGCCTGGGAAGCCCAACCAATCACCAAGTGTTGAGGATCAAGTGCACATGTGCAGACCCAAACACACACACACACACACACACACATCTTTGGGTCAGATGTTAGCGAGGCAGGCAGTACAGATGAGAGAAAAGAAGGAGCTTGGTTCATCCTCACTCAAACTCTCATGGCACACGTGGTTATGATTCACCGAATCCTGAGGAGCTAAACTCAAAATGTCAAGGTTAATTTGTGTTCCAGTGCATCTGAGCGTTTCCACAACCACTTGTCCCCGGCTTTAATGAAACGTTTAAAGCAGCCGTCCGCCATCCTCCCCAAAGTCACAAAAAAAGACTAACAGATTAAAAAAATCAATCTCAAAGCAAATCAAGATGGTATTGTTTTCTCCCAGCACAAAAAACTATGACCAAACGCACCCATACGGCCATCGCTGTGCTTAATTATGGAAGAGACAACTTCATTGGTTCACACTGTGAGGTAACGGCAGTCGTTCACCGAGGCTCGCCTCAGGCCCGTCCTCTTTGTCCATGAGCATGCAATCTGATTCAAAGTGACACTCGTCTCAGCAGTGGAATCGTTGAAGGCCGCTGGTCACTGGTGTGATCCTCAGAGGCAGAGCTGGAGATACAGCAGACCCTGAGACCGCTCTGTGAACATGCGAGAGAGAACCAATGCCAAACAGCTTAGGTTCCTGCCCAAACTCCTGGACATTTATTATGCTGAGTAACTCTGATCATCATGTGACTGACAGAGGGACTCAATGGCTCTGATGTTCACGAGTTTACAGCCAACTGACGTCCAAACAACGATGACTCAGTGTCAACAACATCTTGTGACCTAATTTTACTGCAGCAGTGAGCAGGTGAGTAACATCCCCTTCAGCTGTGCTTCCTCAGACTCCACTTCAAGGCCCAAAATGGTTCCTTGTGTGTGCTTTATGATTTCCTGGAGCACACAATACTGTGCGTTAGTTACACGGTGTTGTGTTTACCAGGAGCCTCCGCCTGTAAAGTGCAGAGCAACTACATGTCATAGAAGAAGTAGAATAAAGCCCCAAATACACTTTCCACACATCATCTGCTCAGGTCTGCGACATGTGGAGCCCCAAACTATGACTGTGCATTATTGTAAGACTGCACAGACACCTGACGTGGCATAGACAGAACCATGTCTGCATCCATTTTGGACTCTAAGAGGCCATTAAAGAGGAACACATGTATAAATAGAAAATAGAAATCAGCCATACACACACTGTAACACATTGCTTTCCTTTTACGAGTATAACTGATTGTAATATTGTTAATATAACATGATTATCCCGATTTATATACAAATACAATGTTATGATGCCTGGTACAACATGTCAGGAGCTGTCAGAACATTTTTTTGCACGTCATACAACGAGACTGAAGCAGAGGTAATAATTAGACAGCCTGACGATGGAGCTTTGTCATTTGCAGATCGTGCTAATCATCCACCTTCACAATATCGACTTGTCTCCAGGTGCGTTTTTTCATCTTTAAGTGACATGTCACTGTAATCCTCTGGCTCTGCTTGCGGCCTACAGTGTCATATGGAAGTTGGCATACTTAGCAACATCCAAGCGGTAAGTAGAAAAAGTAGTCCATAATTCAAGGCAATCAAACCATAACTGACTGCTTATTGAGTAAATGCTGGCTGTGTTTAACCCTCACATGACCAGCTCAACCTAAATATTCAATGTTTGGATTGAACCTGCTCTAAGTTTGGCGACCAGCATGTTGTCGCTCCACACTTGCACCAGCGTTTACTGAATTTCACCTGGATTTGTTCCAAAAGAGTCTGGAATTTTCTAACCCACATTGCTGCAATGCATCACAGAAGAAGAAAAAAAATAGCACATGGCTCTTTTTTCCAACCACAAGCAAATGAGAGTCAATCACAGTTGGACACAGCTTTAACTGCTACACAAATGTCTGCATGTAGGGTTATCTGATGAATGCTTACAGGTCAAAACCATGGGAATATTACCCACAGCTGCCTCCTGTCTCACATGGCATTAATATGACATATTTCCAAGCCAATTTTTTTCAGGCAGAGTTTTATAAAGTACAGAAACACAAAATGCACCTTCCTCACACCAAAGTGCTGCATGTGAATACGTTCAAATGACACAGCCTGACAGTGGAAGCCTGGGCAGATCCAGCAGCAGCTCTGACCCAGTCCTCCTCTTCCCTCGGCTCTCCTTTCTACCAGGCAACAACAGCACCGAGTCGCTGCTCAGCTCAATGGAGGTGGAAATCTGGGCTGCAGGAGCACCAGGTCTCCATCAAATGCCTTTTGCCTATATATATATGTGTGTGTGTGTGTGTGTGTGTGTGTGTGAGATGGGATGGGATGAACAGGCCTATCCTCATTAATGCAGCACAGAGCCACTCCAGCAAAAGGCCTGCTGGGCAATGGTGTGCACAAATGCGCAATGAAACACCGCCCACCCAATGGCGCACAAGTCGGTCAGCGTGGTAAAGGCTGTCATGCACGGATGGGGTTGGCCTGATCAGTGCAATGCAAAGCGTGCAGTATGCAGGGATATTTTACTGGGGTGTGGATGAGAGGAGGAGAGGAGGAGGGAGGGAGGAGGGAGGAGGGACCTCCTTGGGACCAAAATAGGTGTACTGGGGTGATGTTTGCATAGCGGAAAAAAATAATGAATGGATGTGAAGCAGTGACAGGCCAAAACGCTATCAGGGAGATAATCCAGTCCAGACCGCACCAGTCCCAAGTGAAGGGGGGGAGACAGGGGACAGTAAACGAGTTCCTGATACCGTGAGAGGGGAAAAAATACAGAAATACATGTTTGTGCTCCAGCTTCCGCCCGTTTGTTCTCTCGGTTGGGGCTTTAACACACACACACACACACACACACACACACACACACACACACACACACACACACAGATGGAGGATCACACCAACCTTGTAGACTTGTCCATAGGTCCCATTTCCGACCACTTCCACCAACTCGAAAATCCCAGCCGGATCCTGTATTTATAAAAAGCATAGAGAAATCAAACACATACAATAAGAAGATTTCATTGATTCTCTGTAGTATTTACAATCGGGTTCGCTCGATGTAAGAGCCGGCTGCGCCCGGTTTGCTGGCCTCCCATGCCAGCGGATATTAGACAAAGAAAAGCCACCGCAGGGCTGTGTCAACAACAGCACTGCTCACAACATGCTTGTGTCTTTATTTCTGAATGTGAAACAAAATTAAATGCAGTGTGAAAATGTGTGTGTGTGACACACACTCACCCTCAGGGATGCCAGGTCTATATCCACCAGACTTTTGGCCGGAGAGTCGTTCGCCATTTTCGTGGAAAAACGGTGATAAATGAGCAGAATAAAGGCGGGTTGTTAGTCTCCTTCAGGCGGACGCTGTGTGTCTCATCCTCGGGTGGTTCTCTTTTTAGTCCCGCTGCTATTTTCTATCCAAGGCGCGTTTTTCCCTCTTTATAATCCCAGGCAGAAGCTCCGCTACTGCTACATACCGACCGACTGACTGAACCCAGCCTCTCTACCGCTCTCTCTCCCTCTCCCTCTCCCTCGCTCTCTCTCTCTATCTCTCTCCCTCTATGTCTCTCTGCCTGTATTCTCCGCCCTCTCTCCCTCGCAGTCTGTCCCTATGTCTCTCTTTCCCTCGCTCTCCTCATTCTCCGCCCCTCTCTCTCACACAGGGACAGCCCAAGACTTTTTGGGGCCCTGAACAGAATGTGATTGCCCCCTCACAGCAGAAGAGGGAACTGTAAATGAAACCCTAATGTAAAATTACTGGTCATGCATTAAGCTCATATGTACAGAGGGAGTGCACATGTAGCTCCTCAAAAATGTAACCACAGGTGGGGGCTACAGCAGTTATATGTACCATAGTATCGCATGTCACAATAAAAAACATCCTGAATATCCTCGCATAACTTAAAAGCAATCAAGTTTGCAGCATTCAGTCCTATATTGATTTCCTGATTTATTTTTGAACAAGGCAGAGGCCGCATCTTTCCCGCCATTACAAAATCCTAATCCTGTCACCGTGGCTGAAGGATCTGGAAGAACATTGTATCCCCTGCAAAGAAATATTAAACCAGATGTGTGGAAATAATGTAGATTTCAAAATAAAGAACAGGGAGATTGGATGTATATCTGTGATGCAATAAATATGTATTTCTTAATAAAACGTTTTTGATTTAGTAACATTTTAAAATTCTGAAGTATAGTTTCATGATTATTGTTATAATATTGTGTATTGCAATTATTTAGGCCAAGATAATCGTGACATGCAATATTCAAAAACAAACTCATTACTTTAGCTAAGGCTGTAAGTTGTGTAATGGAGGAAAAATAATCAATAATATAATTTAGATAAATACTGGATTGTAAATCATTGTCAGGACAGCATAAGTGAGTCTCATAGGGATGATAGGCGCACCTACACACAGAGGCTTTTCCTCCTATGACATGCCAAAATATCTGCTGTAACAAGTCTGTAGACGGATGATGTCAAATCATAAAATATTATAAGTCATTTAATTGCTATGAAATCCTTTAATGAAAAGATCGATCCCCGCCAGTGGAAATCTAGCCTGGGGAACCACAATGTCCAGAAACAGCTCTGACCACGTGGAGACCACAAGAACTGTGATTGGTCAGTTTGATCAGCTGGTGTTTCCTCCTTCTGATGCTGCTGAAGATGGCTGATGGTGATGTTTAAAGAAGTTGAGGCAGGGCTTTCTGGTGTTGTGGTAGTGCTATCAGCAGATCAAATCTGACACTTAAATCTAGTGCTATAATGAAATATCTGAAAACATGCACTGTGAATTGTAAAATGTAAAAATGTAAATATGTATCTGGTGTGTACTTCTATTTAATTTATTTATATTAACTATCCTGTCCCCTCCATGTCTTTTCCTCTCTCAAGCTTTGTTTGTATCTGTCTCTCCATCAGATAGATACAGGGCAATTAGAGCATGTGAAATGGAAACAGTGATAAATATTTCAGTAGTTCTGTCAGTGCTGTGCTGTTCTGTTGAAGGGTATGATATCCACACAGCTGCATTATATCCCGCTGCCATTACTCTGACCTGTCAGCTGCGCAGCATGATTTTGGTCAGCACTCATAAAAGCAAACCAACACAAAGACTACACATGCCGATAACGTGGCGATGATTTCAGTACTCTGAATTCCAAATTGTATTCTGTTGTGTGAACTGGTGTGACTGTTCATTTCTTGAACTTAATGCCACCTAACAGTACAAATACTATTATATTTAATAGATATATTTGAGGCAAATGCAGATACTGTTTGAAGTAAAGGTCACCAGGAGCTTGTACCTTTTGAGGATACGTTGCTGTTTTAAAGTTGAAAATGTTGAAAATAAAGTTTTGTCCAGTCACCTCAGCTTTTCCACAAATTTGACCAATCATCGTAGTTTCCTGCACAAACCGTTGTTTCTTGTTGCGATGATGCAGACCATGCAGACATGTGCTACGCAAACATTTCATATATTCCGAACGGTGCGATTTTATTGTCACTGTAACAGGTTGCCTTAGATTTTTAATGATTCATACAAAAATAAATAAATAATTGCAACAATTTTTGCAATTTTCACTTTCTTTAGAATGAGCTAAAAATGCCTAACATCATTACAACATGCATCACAATTATTCTTCTTATTATTATTATTATTATTATTAATATGAAATCAGACATTTTAGGCTGCAACAATCAAAAAAAAAAAAAAATCCCAGACAGGCTGTATTGCATTCTTATTTTAATAAAAAACTATAATGAAGTTCTGACTTGTTCACTCATCCTAATTAGTTGTGTAACCCCACTTCCTTGTCAGAGGCTGTGGGTAAGCAGGCTACAGTTCTTGATAAACTTCTTGGTTTATTCTTCCTTCGACACACAAACACACCAAGATCATATTTTCACAGCAGGCTTCAACGGTTGCATGTTACCTTGGGTCTGAAATACTTCTCACGGTCCCTCATAAGAGAAGGGCAGGTAGAAACTAAAATTAGCCTTAAACAAAGGGAGCATGAAATAGCAACTTAAATGTTACACATGTAAATATATAAATAAAATAATAAAGTGCTCAAAATGATACTGAAATAAGTATTGTTTTAAGAGTAGTGTAGCTAGTGGCATCTAGCGGTGTAGTTGCAGGTTGCCCTCCCTTTTTAAAGCACGAACGAGAAACTACACTGGCCACAAAACACGCAAGAAGCGCAAACCTATCTAGAGCCAGTGTTTGGTTTGTCCATTCTGGGCTACTGTAGAAACATGGCGGTTCAACATGGTGAACTCCATAGAAGCTGACCTGTGGCGTCTGTAGATGAAAATGGCTTATTCTAAATGTAATAAAAACATAACGATTCCTATAGTCAGTTGATTATATATAGAAAACAAACCTATGAACATTATATTCCATTTCTGCCAATAGAGCCTCCTAAATGTTACACACTGCACCTTTAAGTAATTAAAGTACCCCAAAAATGTATTGTGTATTGTAACCATAGATTATTAGATCTTTATTAAGATTTACGCAGTTGCAAAACTAATTCAGCTATGAATAGGTATAGCTGCAATCCTGGGAGGAAACCCAACAAATATCTTGAAAATGTAATATGTAATAACCAAACTTAAGATTCCTGACAAATCTCTCACAAAGAAAAGCAAATGCACTTAAGCATAGGAGTGATCTGATTTACATGCTAACATCAACATTCTCACACTGACGATGCTGACATGTTGATATCGAGCTGGTATGACGTTTACCATGTTCACCATCTTAGCATGCTAATATTTGGTTATTAGCTCTCAACACAAAGTACAGTTGTGGTTGTACTTCAGCAGTGCAGGTGTTTGGTCATAAACCGAAGTATGAATGACTTAATGGCGATCTATCTGTTGGTTGCTGTCCGACCAACTGACAGACATACAGGTGCAAGTGTGGTTAAAAAGGTAGAATACGATTTTTCAAAATTCAACATACCTGACCCACGATGATGCGTAAATATCCATGTTTTAGCAATGTCTCACCTGATTGTAATAAACAATTTGTTTCTCCTGTCTTTCACTACAATATGGTCTGTGGTACACTGGTAGCTGGAGAGGTGCCAGTTTCACCTCCTGTGCACTGCTGAGATGCCCTTGAGCAAGGCAACCTAACCCCAAGCCCGTCACTCCACCATCTCTCTCCCTGTTGCATGTTCAGTGAGTGAAAAGAAGAATCTCGCCTAGGGGATCAATAAAGTATATATCTATCTAAAATCGGTTTACTATTTTTCAGTTATTTTTTATGCGTATGCTTGCTTGTCCTATCCCCATCCTCGACTCTTAAATTCTTCGTTCTGTCTGTCTTTTGCTGTAACTTCAATGCTTTCTCCTTTCTTTTCCACAGGAATGTATGCCTCTTTCTAACACAGTTTTACTATTGCCTGTTAATGATGTTGGTTATCCAGATGTGAAAGCTTATTCCACTGCCTCACTCTCACTCACAAATGCCAAAAAATGAACATCTGTTGGCACACATGGATCAGAAACCACAGGACTTCAGAGTCATTAAATTGGGACAGAGAAGGACGTACATACAGTACGCTGACAATCACTTTACATACAGTAAAAACAAACAGACATATGTTTAGTTTTTGCAAAGAAACAGGAAAAACTTTAACTTCATATCTGTTCTGATCACTTTATCAACATTAATGTTGTTCACAGATTTTGCATTCACATAATAAGAAAATAGGAAAAACCACAATAAAATAGCAAAAGCGTGGACCAAAGTAAAATAAGACATCAGATGACGTTAATTACTTTATATAACTTTGTCTGAAGCAGCTAATGTGAAATAAATGATTGTGCTTTATGTTCAATCTTCCAGACAGGAAGTGTTGTATCATGTTATGTTGGGGCTGGAAAAAAAAATTGGTGCACTTCCCTAAAACTTGTGCTTTGGTCTGTGCTCTTGAGTGAGTCTTCTCTTTGAAGGTGATGGTGGGGGACGACCCACAGACATCAAAGTATCACCCACTGGGTGTGTCCTGCTTTCATGTGTTATCTATAGCGGGGATATTTCGAGGATTTCAGGCTGTATGGACGTCTAAATTACTGAGTTTATTCTAGACCTGGAATGTACACTCCTACTGTAGTGCCTCTGAGTTGAGTTGGGCAACTACCACTGGATGATTCAATCTGCTTTAAAGGTCAATATTTAGATTTAAGAAAGAACTATATATTTGCAGTTGTTTATCATATATGCCAAAATCTGGTCAAAACCTACGATTCTTTGTCTGTAAAGAGAAACTACAGTATCAGACATAATTGCATACATAGTGTGGCCAAACGTTTTTGACAGGGGTGGCCCAAGTGGGGCACTGCAGGGGTGGTATGAAGTATATGTTAACATAACAGTATCACAATGGGGTAGCACCATACAAATGTAATATAAAGCTTCCACACTTGATCCTTTAACTCCTCAAAATCGTACCTCATAGTTTGGCAGATCCTCTGAGTGCTCGAGAGATCATAAATAACCAAAA